GCCCTCAACATGAGCAATGTAAGGGGAATCCATGAAGTGCCATGAAGCTGATAAATCAACAATTTGTAATAGTTAGTACTGTTTACAGTTAATGGTGATCAGTTTGTGAATGTAACGCTGTTTTATTATTTTTTTCTTTTATATAACGCTGTAACCTTTCATTTATGTCTTTTACAGAAACTTTACAAAGCCGGTGTTGTGGAGATGGCCAAGAAGGGCCACAACCTCAAAGCAGACGCCATCCCAATTCAGGCTGCTAAGTCCGGTACTACCATTGCCAGTAATGTAAGTTCTTGCAAACTGCATGAAATCAGTATTCACAGTGCTGCTAAAATCTAAATTATAAAACAGGACAGTCTCTGTGAATGACAGAGTATATGTTTGCTGTCACAGTACAAGTACAAGTTGGCTTACGAGAAGGCCAGAGGCCACCACGTTGGTTTCCGCAGCCTGCAGGACGATCCTCTGCTGGTTCATTACATGGAGGTGGCCAGATTGCAGAGCGACAAGAACTACAAGAAGGACTACAACAAGGCCAAGCTGAAGTATCACTCCCCAGTGGACATGTTGAGTTTGGTCCATGCAAAGCAGGCTTCTACTGTTCAGACAATGGCTGGATACAAGCAGATAAACCCCCGCTACACAGTCCTGCCTGATGCCATGAACCTGGAACTAGCTCGTAACATGCAGTTCATCGCCAGTGATGTATGTATAGAGTCTGACTTATTCATCTTAAAATTACCATTATCGTTATTATTATTATTATTATCATTTTAAAACTAAAAATCCCAAGTTTTTATGTTACATTATTGTTATCATTAGCTAGGACAATGGCTATCTGTGCTGCATTGTAAAGGATTTTTTTTTCTGTCGATATTCTTCCTCAGAACCAGTACAAGAGTGAGTATCAAAGCTTCATAAGAGGAACAGGATGGGTTCCTATTGGATCGTTCGATGTTGAGAAAGCAAAAACAGCTGGCCAGATCTTCAGCGAGAGTAAATACCGTCAACATCCTAGCAACTTCAAATTCACTAAGGACATGCAGTCCATGGATCTGGCACTGGCCACTGCCAACAATCAGATTATGGATAAGGTACTGGATAGGCCTTCCTGTGAAAATAACACAAATACCTCTTTGTAACATTTTCAAACCATTATCAAACCATCAACTTCATTTTGTTTTTAGCAAGCCTACAGCAAAGCTTGGGAGAAAGACAAAACTTCAATCCACATCATGCCTGATGCAATGGACATTGTTCTTGCCAGAGGAAACAAGAGGAACGTCAGTGAGGTACAGGGTGATACTATTTTTAACTAAAAGCAAACGTACTGTATGTCCCATGGTAACCACAAAACTTACAGCATGGATTTTGATAACCTGGAAGTGGGTACATTACTTCAAGTTGGTGCATGAGTATATTCATTCATAAGTATACATGCTTTCCTACATAAAAATGCATATTTTCTTTCTCTTCAGAAACTGTACAAATTGGACAATGAGCTGTCCAAGAAGAAGGGCCATCATCTTCGTGCTGATGCTATTGCAGTCCAGGCTGCCAAAGCCTCCACTACTATTGCTAGTGATGTTAGTATCTGGTTATACTGTACTACCTATATATATCATATTATATTTCACATATATATAATTTCTTACGCTTTTCTCCTCACCAAAGTATGGTTGTAAAAACTCTCACAATTGCTTTTTTAGTACAAGTACAAGACAGGATACCGTAAGCAGGTGGGCCACCACATCGGTGCTCGCTGCGCCAAGATTGCAGTGTGCCCTGTAAGAGGGCTTAGCAAGTCCAGCAAGTTCAATCTTCGTGGCATGATTGCCTTTTTGAGCTGGCCAGAAAAGCCGAGATTCAGGTCAACGGCAACTACCTCACCGCGGACTCCACTGATGTCAGGCAGGCCAGACATGCATATGACATACAGAGTGATGTGAGTATGAGTCCATGAATTTATGCTATGGAAACTTTTCATAATATTTTTGAATGTTTTAGAA